AATATTGCTGAGTGCAGCGTTAAACAACAAACCAACCAACCAACCAACCAACTAGTCTTCATGTCAGGCCCTGAAAGAGCCATGACCTGTATATCATGGGCAGTTAATAAGTACTTTGTTAATCAATCTATCTACACACGTGTTCCAAACTGTTACAAAGCCCTGCACATATCCTCCATGGAAGTGTAACTCTATCTCCACCATCTGGTTACGACTGCTTAAACACTCAGCGTCATTCCTTAATGTTAATGTCTCCTGCAAACGTCCTGAGCGTTACTATTACTCTCTAATGTTACCTAATACACCCAGCATGTTCGCCTGAAGGCAGTAACGTTGCCCTTGCGCCGCGTCTCCGCCAGAGGAGTGCGTGGCGTCGAGGAGGTATCAGGCAGAGTGGACTAGGCCTACACCAGACGAGCACCACCCACGAGTAACTCGTCGTCGTAGTTGTAACGTCAGCAGCGGCCGAAGTTGAAGGTGTGTGCAATGTTGCATACAGCTGTGTTAGTGACACAGTCGCCTCAGCACCTGTTCAAAGCAGCTCACTCACTCACTCACTCACGCGATTGGTCACTCACCCACTCACTCAAAGAAATATACACGAGAAAAAACTGGCACTAACTTCTTCGATTCGTAACATCAATCATAATTCCCTGTTTAGACAGATAGATGAAAGAATATACAACAAATGGAAAGAAAATGTACATTCCTGTCATGATTAGGCGATAAGTTTCACTATTTATGGCCAAGTGTTACCAAAAATAGAACGCATCATATCCGTACATATTCCAGCAGAGGCTTTAAGGACATGTAACGTTAAAGTTTGTTTTGAGATCAATATTGTTCTTGCAAAAACTCGTTTCTAGGTAGATCAGTAGAACGGTAATATCAGGAAGTAAAATAGTAACATGCTATCCTTTGGCGAGCATACAACCCATTTTGTTTTCCTAATATTTGTTATTTATGATACATAGACACACAATGTACTAACGTCCTTTTCATATTATGTCATTTATAAGAAAATAGAAGTTTCATTAATCGAAGTTTAATTAATCGACGTTTCATTAATTGTAGTTTCCTTTACCAAATTCATTCACCAAATATAAACTCGTGAAGATCCGGGGTAGAATATCCGGGGTCTTCAGCAACCCATGCTTGCCGTAAAAAGGCGACTATGCTATGTCGTTAGAGGATACTAGTTAGGCTTGCTGACTTGGTTGATGCATGTCATCGTATCACAATTGCGTGGATCGATGCTCATGATGTCAGTCACCGGATTGTCTGGCCCAGTCTCGATTACATTATATCATATAGCTGGACTATTGCTGAGTCAGGCGTTAAACAAATAAACAAACAAACATCACCAAATATAAAACGCCAACGCCAAAGAACAACTAGTCCCGACCATCCGCCGAAAGAAATGCCCCATAAGGCGTAAAGTGAGTGACTGAGTATGGTTTTACGCCGTTTTTCAGCAATAATCCAGCAATATCACGGCAGGGGACATAAAAAATGGGCTTCACCCAATGAGCCATGTGCCAATGAGGGGAATGGAGGCCGGGCCCTAGGCGTGACGAGCGAACTCTATAGGGCGGTCGGGTAGCCTAGTGGTTAAAGCGTTTGCTCGTCACGCCGAAGACCCGGGTTCGATTCCCGACATAGGTACAATGTGTGAAGCCCATTTGTGGTGTCCCCCGCCGTGATATTGCTGGAATATTGCTAAAAGCGGCGAAAAAACCATACTCACTCAATCACTCTTTAACCTATAGGCAACCCCACCGCTCCCCCTTTGGGCGTGAAGGCCAAAACAGTGATGGCAATTGTACGAAGGGACCACTGATTATCACAGACGACACCGAGTCCCCGCGAAAATGTTTCATAGATATCGTTTGTTTGGAAAGGATGGATTTTTTGTTGAAAAACTCCCGACCATTATTTCACAGGGGTGACGGAATTGACAGTTCGGCACTCGACACATGACTCACGCACAAACAGTGTTATCTGTTCACATAAACTTTTACAAGGCACACCTGTTCATATTATTTGCATATTCATTCTTACATTTCAAAATTTAGTGCGTTGGGAAACTGGTTACAACACGACTTTTGAAACTTTGAGTGCAAGCGTTCTTCGTGTATATGATTCACACAGAGGGATAGTGAAGACCCAAGTTGAGACACAATTGTCACGGCCGCTGCCTACATGAAGAGGATTTACACAGAAGTGTGGAAAAGCGAACAAGCGTGATCATTCTGCACGCATGAACACATAAACTGTAATAGATTATACGAAAATGTATAGCCTCGTATACTGTTAAGCGTCTCTCGGTGCACCTTGATAGACAAAGTGAGCGGATGGGTGAGTGAGTGGATGAGGGGACAAATATAGCAAGATAATTTCTTTGGGGACAAGTAAAGCAAGATAACGTCCTTTGGGACACATACAGCTAGGTAATCCCTTGGGGGATACATACAGCAGGAGTGTGTCCTTTGGGACACTTACAGTAAGATTATGTCCTTTGGGACAAATACAGCAAGATTGCGTGTAGGTCATTTGGGACAAATACAGTAAGAGTATGTCCTTGGGACAAATACAGCAAGATTATGTCCTTTGGGACAATTACAGTAAGATTATGTCCTTTGGGACAAATACAGTAGGATTATGTCCTTTGGGACAAATACAGCAATTTTACATGCAGGTCATTTGGGACAAATGCAGCAGGATTATGTCCTTTGGGACAAATACAGCAAGTTACATGTAGGTCATTTGGGACAAATACAGTAAGAGTGTGTCCTTTGGGACAAATACAGTAAGATAATGTCCTTTTGGACAAATACAGCAAGTTACATGTAGGTCATTTGGGACAAATACAGTAAGAGTGTGTCCTTTGGGACAAATACAGTAAGATAATGTCCTTTGGGACAAATACAGTAAGATTACATGTAGGTTATTTGGGACAAATACAGCAGGAGTGGTGTCCTTTGGGACAAATCCAGTAAGATAAGTTCCTTGGGGACAAATACAGTAAGATTACATGTAGGTCATTTGGGACAAATACAGCAGGAGTGTGTCCTTTGGGACAAATACAGTAAGATAATGTCCTTTGGGACAAATACAGTAAGATAATGTCCTTTGGGACAAATACAGTAAGATTACATGTAGGTCATTTGGGACAAATACAGCAGGAGTGTGTCCTTTGGGACAAATACAGTAACATAATTTCCTTTTGGACAAATACAGTAAGATTACATGTAGGTTATTTGGGACAAAAACAGTGAGAGTATGTCCTTAGGGACAAATACAGTAAGATCATGTTCTTTTGGACAAATACAGTAAGATTACATGTAGGTCCTTTGGGACAAATACAGCAGGAGTGTGTCCTTTGGGACAAATATAGTAAGATGATGTCCTTTGGGACAAAAACAGCAAGATTACATGTAGGTCATTTGGGACAAATACAGTAGGAGTATGTCCTTTGGGACAAATACAGTAAGATAATGTCCTTTGGGACAAAAACAGCAAGATTACATGTAGGTCATTTGGGACAAATACAGCAGGAGTGTGTCCTTTGGGACAAATACAGTAAGATAATGTCCTTTGTGACAAATACAGCAAGTTACATGTAGGTCATTTGGGTCAAGTACAGTAAGAGTATGTCCTTTGTGACAAATACAGTAAGATTATGTCCTTTGGGACAAATACAGTAAGATTACATGTAGGTCATTTGGGACAAATACAGTAAGATTATGTCCTTTGGGACAAATACAGTAAGATTACATGTACGTAATTTGGGACAAATACAATAAGAGTATGTCCTTTGGGACAAATACAGTAAGATTATGTCCATTGGGACAAATACAGTAAGATTACATGTAGGTCATTTGGGACAAATACAGTAAGAGTATGTCCTTTAGGACAAATACAGCAAGATTATGTCCTTTGGGACAAATACAGTAAGATTACATGTAGGTCATTTGGGACAAATACAGTAAGATTATGTCCTTTGGGACAAATACAGTAAGATTGCATGTAGGTCATTTGGGACAAATACAGCAGGATCATGACATTTGGGCCAAATACAGCAAGATTACATGTAGGTCATTTGGGACAAATACAGCAAGTTACATGTAGGTAATTTGGGACAAATACAATAAGAGTATGTCCTTTGGGACAAATACAGTAAGATTATGTCCTTTGGGACAAATACAGCAAGATTGCATGTAGGTCATTTGGGACAAATACAACAGGATTACATGTACGTAATTTGGGACAAATACAATAAGAGTATGTCCTTTGGGACAAATACAGTAAGATTATGTCCATTGGGACAAATACAGCAAGATTGCATGAAGGTCATTTGGGACAAATACAGCAGGATTATGTCATTTGGGACAAATACAGCAGGATTATGTCCTTTGGGACAAATACAATAAGATTATGTCCTTTGGGACAAATACAGCAGGATTATGTCCTTTGGGCCAAATACAGTAAGATTATGTCCTTTGGGACAAATACAGTAAGAGTAATTCCATTGGGAGAAATACCACAGGGTAATCCCTTAGGGGACAATAGCAAGACTTTTGGTACATATACAGCAAGATAGTCCCTTACGAGCAAGGGAATGGTGCCGACAAACCTAGAAACATAATCGGGGCGCACCGGGATTCGAACAAAAAATCATATGTTTCTCTGCACAGCAAATTGAGGAGCCTAAGACGACTGGGCCTAATCCTTTAGCAGATTATGTCCTTTGGGACACATATTGCAGGATAATACCAAGTAGAGATAGCAAGAACAGTGGTAGTGGTGGTGGTAGTAGAGATAGTAGTAGCAGTGGTGGTGGTAGTAGTAGAGATAGTAGTAGCAGTGGTGTTGGTGGTAGTAGAGATAGTAGTAGCAGTGGTGGTGGTGGTAGTAGAGATAGTAGTAGCAGTGGTGGTGGTGGTAGTAGAGATAGTAGTAGCAGCGGTGGTGGTAGTAGTAGAGATAGTAGTAATAGCAGTGGTGGTGGTAGTAGCAGTGATAGTAGTAGCAGGGGTGGTGGTAGAGATAGTAGTAGCAGCGGTGGTGGTAGTAGTAGAGATAGTAGTAGCAGGAGTGGTGATAGTAGTAGAGATAGTAGTAGCAGTGGTGGTGGTAGAGATAGTAGTAGCAGCGGTGGTGGTAGTAGTAGAGATAGTAGTAGCAGCGGTGGTGGTAGAGATAATAGTAGCTGTGGTGGTGGTAGTAGTAGAGATAGTAGTAGCAGTGGTACTGGTTGTAGTCGAGATAGTAGTAGCAGCGCTGGTGGTGGTAGTCGAGATAGTAGTAGCAGCGGTGGTGGTAGTAGTAGAGATAGTAGTAGCAGTGGTACTGGTTGTAGTAGTAGAGATAGTAGTAGCAGTGGTACTGGTTGTAGTAGAGATAGTAGTAGCAGCGGTGGTGGTAGTAGTAGTGATAGTAGTAGCAGTGGTACTGGTTGTAGTAGAGATAGTAGTAGCAGTGGTGGTGGTAGTAGTAGAGATAGTAGTAGCAGCGGTACTGGTTGTAGTAGAGATAGTAGTAGCAGTGGTACTGGTTGTAGTAGAGATAGTAGTAGCAGTGGTGGTGGTAGTAGTAGAGATAGTAGTAGCAGCGGTGGTGGTAGAAGTAGAGACAGTAGTAGCAGCAGTGTTTGTGGAAGTAGTAGAGATAGTAGTAGCAGTGGTGATGGTAGTAGAATAGACAGTAGCAGCAGTGTTTGTGGTAGTAGTAGGGATAGTAGTAGCAGCGGTGATGGTAGAGATAGAAGTAGCAGTGGTAGTAGTAGAGATAGTAGTAGCAGCGGTGGTGGTGGTAGTCGAGATAGTAGTAGCAGTGGTAGTAGTAGAGATAGTAGTAGCAGTGGTAGTAGTAGAGATAGTAGTAGCAGCGGTGATGGTAGAGATAGAAGTAGCAGTGGTAGTAGTAGAGATAGTAGTAGCAGTGGTAGTAGTAGAGATAGTAGTAGCAGCGGTGGTGGTGGTAGAGATAGTAGTAGCAGTGGTAGTAGTAGAGATAGTAGTAGCAGCAGTGGTGGTAGAGATAGAAGTAGCAGTGGTAGTAGTAGAGATAGTAGTAGCAGCGGTGGTGGTAGTAGTAGAGATAGTAATAGCAGCGGTGGTGGTGGTAGAGATAGTAGTAGCATTGGTAGTAGTAGAGATAGTAGTAGCAGCGATGGTAGAGATAGTAGTAGTAGCGGTGGTGGTGGTAGAGATAGTAGTAGCAGGGGTGGTGGTAGTAGTAGAGATAGTAGTAGCAGCGGTGGTGGTAGTAGTAGAGATAGTATTAGCAGCGGTGGTGGTAGTAGTAGAGATAGTAGTAGCAGCGGTGGTGGTAGTAGTAGTGATAGTAGTAGCAGCGGTGGTGGTAGTGATAGTAGTAGCAGCGGTGGTGGTAGTAGTTGAGATAGTAGTAGCAGCGGTGGTGGTAGTAGTAGTGATAGTAGTAGCAGCAGTGGTGGTGGTAGTAGTAGAGATAGTAGTAGCAGTGGTGATGGTAGTAGTAGCTGTGGTGGTGGTAGTAGTAGAGATAGTAGTAGCTGTGGTGGTGGTAGTAGTAGTGATAGTAGTAGCAGCAGTGGTGGTGGTAGTAGTAGAGATAGTAGTAGCTGTGGTGGTGGTAGTAGTAGTGATAGTAGTAGCAGCAGTGGTGGTGGTAGTAGTAGAGATAGTAGTAGCTGTGGTGGTGGTAGTAGTAGAGATAGTAGTAGTAGCAGTGGTGGTAATAGTAGTGATAGTAGTAGCAGCGGTGGTGGTAGTAGTAGTGATAGTAGTAGCAGCGGTGGTAGTAGTATTAGAGATAGTAATAGCAGCGGTGGTGGTAGTAGTAGAGATAGTAGCAGCAGCGGTGGTAGTAGTAGAGATAGTAATAGCAGCAGCAGTGGTGGTAGTTGAGATAGTAGTAATAGCAGCGGTGGTGAATCTTGTAGGAACTGGCGTCTTTGTTTGTGGTAAAATTAAAGATTATCTCTCCATTATACGATATACAGTTGTAATGTTGCTGACTGCGGCTGCTGACTGCGGCGTTGGTGGTAGTAGTAGAGATAGTAGCAGCAGCGGTGGTAGTAGTAGAGATAGTAATAGCAGCAGCAGTGGTGGTAGTTGAGATAGTAGTAATAGCAGCGGTGGTGAATCTTGTAGGAACTGGCGTCTTTGTTTGTGGTAAAATTAAAGATTATCTCTCCATTATACGATATACAGTTGTAATGTTGCTGACTGCGGCTGCTGACTGCAGCGTTGGTGGTAGTAGTAGAGATAGTAGCAGCAGCGGTGGTAGTAGTAGAGATAGTAATAGCAGCAGCAGTGGTGGTAGTTGAGATAGTAGTAATAGCAGCGGTGGTGAATCTTGTAGGAACTGGCGTCTTTGTTTGTGGTAAAATTAAAGATTATCTCTCCATTATACGATATACAGTTGTAATGTTGCTGACTGCGGCTGCTGACTGCAGCGTTGGTGGTAGTAGTAGAGATAGTAGCAGCAGCGGTGGTAGTAGTAGAGATAGTAATAGCAGCAGCAGTGGTGGTAGTTGAGATAGTAGTAATAGCAGCGGTGGTGAATCTTGTAGGAACTGGCGTCTTTGTTTGTGGTAAAATTAAAGATTATCTCTCCATTATACGATATACAGTTGTAATGTTGCTGACTGCGGCTGCTGACTGCAGCGTTGGTGGTAGTAGTAGAGATAGTAGCAGCAGCGGTGGTAGTAGTAGAGATAGTAATAGCAGCAGCAGTGGTGGTAGTTGAGATAGTAGTAATAGCAGCGGTGGTGAATCTTGTAGGAACTGGCGTCTTTGTTTGTGGTAAAATTAAAGATTATCTCTCCATTATACGATATACAGTTGTAATGTTGCTGACTGCGGCTGCTGACTGCAGCGTTGGTGGTAGTAGTAGAGATAGTAGCAGCAGCGGTGGTAGTAGTAGAGATAGTAATAGCAGCAGCAGTGGTGGTAGTTGAGATAGTAGTAATAGCAGCGGTGGTGAATCTTGTAGGAACTGGCGTCTTTGTTTGTGGTAAAATTAAAGATTATCTCTCCATTATACGATATACAGTTGTAATGTTGCTGACTGCGGCTGCTGACTGCAGCGTTGGTGGTAGTAGTAGAGATAGTAGCAGCAGCGGTGGTAGTAGTAGAGATGGTAATAGCAGCAGCAGTGGTGGTAGTTGAGATAGTAGTAATAGCAGCGGTGGTGAATCTTGTAGGAACTGGCGTCTTTGTTTGTGGTAAAATTAAAGATTATCTCTCCATTATACGATATACAGTTGTAATGTTGCTGACTGCGGCTGCTGACTGCAGCGTTGGTGGTAGTAGTAGAGATAGTAGCAGCAGCGGTGGTAGTAGTAGAGATGGTAATAGCAGCAGCAGTGGTGGTAGTTGAGATAGTAGTAATAGCAGCGGTGGTGAATCTTGTAGGAACTGGCGTCTTTGTTTGTGGTAAAATTAAAGATTATCTCTCCATTATACGATATACAGTTGTAATGTTGCTGACTGCGGCTGCTGACTGCAGCGTTGGTGGTAGTAGTAGAGATAGTAGCAGCAGCGGTGGTAGTAGTAGAGATAGTAGTAGCAGCAGCAGTGGTGGTAGTTGAGATAGTAGTAATAGCAGCGGTGGTGAATCTTGTAGGAACTGGCGTCTTTGTTTGTGGTAAAATTAAAGATCATCTCTCCATTATACGATATACAGTTGTAATGTTGCTGACTGCGGCTGCTGACTGCAGCGTTGGTGGTAGTAGTAGAGATAGTAGCAGCAGCGGTGGTAGTAGTAGAGATAGTAGTAGCAGCAGAGGTGGTGGTAGTTGAGATAGTAGTAATAGCAGCGGTGGTGAATCTTGTAGGAACTGGCGTCTTTGTTTGTGGTAAAATTAAAGATTATCTCTCCATTATACGATATACAGTTGTAATGTTGCTGACTGCGGCTGCTGACTGCGGCGTTGGTGGTAGTAGTAGAGATAGTAGCAGCAGCGGTGGTAGTAGTAGAGATAGTAGTAGCAGCAGAGGTGGTGGTAGTAGTTGAGATAGTAGTAATAGCAGCGGTGGTGAATCTTGTAGGAACTGGCGTCTTTGTTTGTGGTAAAATTAAAGATTATCTCTCCATTATACGATATACAGTTGTAATATTGCTGATTGCGGCACAAAACATCAAATAAACAAAAACCTCATATCCCTGATTCATCGGCGATAATTACAATGGTATGGCTGTGGTCGGATAAATAGACACAGGTCTCTTTATTTCATAAAGAGACATCGTCGGTCTGTATCGTTAATGTTGCTGTCTTCACTCGGTTTGACTTTTGACCTGTTCCCTGTGACGCAGATGTCACTGGTCTTCCCTGTCGTCAACGTCATTGCTCACTGTGACATTGTTGACAAATAGTCCCCGTCTGTTGCTTACATTACACATCACAACAATTATTCGGCTCTGGGTATAGGTGGTAAGGCCAGGTACTCTTGCTTAAGTCCGAGGTTGGATACAATATTACAAACAGTACATACATGCTTGAAACTGGAATTCCTCGTGTAGTCTTGTGCCCCATTTCATTTTGGAATTTGTTTATTTCACACTCACTTCTTATTTGATTTTCGGTTAGAAACTAAACTGAGGGGCAGAAGAAAGTTAACACCCATGTTTGATGGTGGCTAAAATGAATCAAAGAAAAAAGAAATGAATATTCGATGGAAATGTATAACAATTTGTTTTTCAAAATTTTGACACTGGCAAAGTAAGGTTAAATGGGACACAAACTGATCAGGCTTTATGTGACCCTCATTGGTAAGGCTAAACGTGACACACATTGACAGGGCCAGACGTGACACTCATTGACAAGGCCAAATGTGATACTTAATGACAAGGCCAAATGTGATACTCTTTGACAAGGTCAGACGTGACACTCATTGACAAGGCCAAATGTGATACTTAATGACAAGGCCAAATGTGATGCTCATTGACAAGGCCAAACGTGACACTCATTGACAGGGCAAGACGTGACACTCATTGACAAGGCCAAATGTGACACTCATTGACAAGGCCAAATGTGATACTTAATGACAAGGCCAAATGTGATGCTCATTGACAAGGCCAGACGTGACACTCATTGACAAGGCCAAAGGTTATACTTAATGGCAAGGCCAAATGTGATACTCATTGACAAGGCCAAATGTGATACTTAATGACAAGGCCAAATGTGATGCTCATTGACAAGGCCAGACGTGACACTCATTGACAAGGCCAAAAGTGACACTTAATGGCAAAGCCAAATGTGATACTCTTTGACAAGGTCAGACGTGACACTCATTGACAAGGCCAAATGTGATACTAATGACAAGGCCAAATGTGACACTCATTGACAAGGCCAGACGTGACACTCATTGACAAGGCCAAATGTGATACTTAATGACAAGGCCAAATGTGATGCTAATTGACAAGGCCAGACGTGACACTCATTGACAATGCCAAATGTGATACTTAATGACAAGGCCAAATGTGACACTCATTGACAAGGCCAGACGTGACACTCATTGACAAGGCCAAATGTGATACTTAATGACAAGGCCAAATGTGACACTCATTGACAAGGCCAGACGTGACACTCATTGACAAGGCCAAATGTGACACTCATTGACAGGGCCAAATGTGATACTTAATGACAAGGCCAAATGTGACACTCATTGACAAGGCCAGACGTGACACTCATTGACAAGGCCAAATGTGATACTTAATGACAAGGTCAAATGTGATGCTCATTGACAAGGCCAGACGTGACACTCATTGACAAGGCCAAATGTGACACTCATTGACAAGGCCAAATGTGATACTTAATGACAAGGCCAAATGTGACACTCATTGACAAGGCCAGACGTGACACTCATTGACAAGGCCAAATGTGATACTTAATGACAAGGCCAAATGTGATGCTAATTGACAAGGCCAGACGTGACACTCATTGACAATGCCAAATGTGATACTTAATGGCAAGGCCAAATGTGACACTCATTGACAAGGCCAGACGTGACACTCATTGACAAGGCCAAATGTGATACTTAATGACAAGGCCAAATGTGACACTCATTGACAAGGCCAGACGTGACACTCATTGACAAGGCCAAATGTGACACTCATTGACAAGGCCAGACGTGACACTCATTGACAAGGCCAAATGTGACACTCATTGACAAGGCCAAATGTGATACTTAATGACAAGGCCAAATGTGACACTCATTGACAAGGCCAGACGTGACACTCATTGACAAGGCCAAAAGTGATACTTAATGGCAAGGCCAAATGTGATACTCATTGACAAGGCCAAATGTGATGCTCATTGACAAGGTCAAATGTGATACTTAATGGCAAGGCCAAATGTGATACGCATTGACAAGGTCAAATGTGATACTTAATGACAAGGCCAAATGTGATGCTCATTGACAAGGCCAGACGTGACACTCATTGACAAGGCCAAAAGTGATACTTAATGGCAAGGCCAAATGTGATACTCATTGACAAGGCCAGACGTGACACTCATTGACAAGGCCAAATGTTATACTCAATGGCAAGGCCAAATGTGATGCTCATTGACAAGGTCAAATGTGATACTTAATGGCAAGGCCAAATGTGATACTCATTGACAAGGCCAAATGTGATACTTAATGACAAGGCCAAATGTGATGCTCATTGACAAGGCCAGACGTGACACTCATTGACAAGGCCAAAAGTGATACTTAATGGCAAGGCCAAATGTGATACTCATTGACAAGGCCATATGTGATACTTAATGACAAGGCCAAATGTTATACTTAATGGCAAGGCCAAATGTGATACTCATTGACAAGGCCAAATGTGATACTTATTGACAAGGCCAAATGTGATA